ATGCATTTTGCTCTGAAATATCTTGGAATCATGTTTTTAATGGAATTGTTTTGGTTTGGGTAATTACTGGTGGAACCAAAGGAAGGGCAATGGTGCACATAATTAGTTATTTGCACCATCTTCTCAATGCAAGTAATGATGTAATTAAATCAAATGACTTTTCATGAACATTGACTCATTCTCCCTTCTCAATGAGAATTCTTGTCTTTGTGGCCCCTTTTTTTTTGTCACTTTGTCCTGAGTTCATCGAGCTGAGTCTGTAGCGAGACGGTGGGCACTTCTTCAAACATGGCTGGCATTTCGCTCTATGCTATGTGTTAGGGATAAGAAAAAAATGGCGCACAAATTGTTGATCACAGATCAGTAATGAAAACAGAAGATGGGTCTTGCATTGTATGGACAGATGAGAAGGAGATGCAGAAAAGGGGAAATGAAAGTATGTGTGAGGGCACAAAACTGGCTGCAGTAGCTTTAGCGCAGGGAATGATTGCTGTAATATTTGTTCCCTGCACATCAATTTGGAAATAGAGTCCCAAATAGACTGAATGTGGGAAAAAGATTGGGGCTTCGGTAACATTGTAGGATGGTGTAAATGAACCAGGCTTTATGGGGCGAATTCTATTATACTGGCATACTGGGGAGATCATTATATAAGCAACAAGTCTTGAAATAACTCTTCTTCACCATCACTGCGCAATGAAAAAATATTTTGGATGGAAGATTGGTGGGGGAGAGTAGACAGGAGAGAGCCAAGAAGGAGAGAGAGAGAGAGAGAGAGAGAGAGAGAGAGAGAGAGACATAGTAGAAGTAATAAAGAGCACATAAATGTATATTCATCAAATTTAAGCTTAATCAGACAGCCGAAATTTCTCAAATAGCAATTAGTACAAGAGGACTGATCATTTTGATCAATGTGTTTTCGCTTTCTTGAGGCCCATTGTGCGTGATAATAATTCACTTTCATGGGAACTGGGAACAAAAACAACAAATTATGTACAGAGAGCTAAAAGTCCACTGAGATTAAGAATGAAAAAGAGAAATTGTGAACATATATGCAGGAAAAGAATACTTGAGCAATTCTCTGGCTTCAGACATTTATCAAAAATGCATTTGTAAGATGTGTATTTAATGGACTTTTTACTCTTATTCAAGAAATCCTATATGTTATTTGTCCATATACTGTAACATTAGAGATCTTAGCTATGACAGTTATTTTGTAGTAAATACTGTAAACATAATTTCGATTCAGAGCCAGAATTTCACTTTTAGTGCATTTAGCAGGTGAGCTAGTTGGAGAGGTACACTGATGTTTCTATATGGAAAACACAGCGTAGTGTAGTTGAGGTCAGAATCCTAAGAGATAAACAACCAAAAGCACTGCCAGCAACAGGAGTCTCTGGTGATACATGTGTACATTAATTCACAAATTACAAGTGCCTTTTTGTTAAGGGCATAATTAAAGTTCAGTTAAGTGCTTATTAAACAGATGCGACTTCGCTCTGTATTTGATAGCAGCCAGTGACTCAGCTGTTTACACAACTGCAGGAGTTCACCAGTATAGAGGGGAGTCTTGATGCTCTTGCAGGTAAGGTTGCCGGTCAGTTCAAAAAGCTTGAAGAAATATGCAGGGTCTGACCACTGCATTGAGAAAACACAGGAGTGGAGTGATAGGAATAAACTGATGCGGAAAGAACTGATGCATTCTAAATAATGAGGGATTGACCAGGGACCCAAATAGGGTTTCTGGAGAGCGTGCATGACCGAGTAAGCCGTGCAAGATGAACGATAACTGATCATCCAATACCACACAGAGGCTTTGTGCACTTAATATTCACTCAGCCGTACACTTAAAGAAGTGTACTCAACTATATGTGTGTGGCAGTCTCAGAAAATCAGATGTCGCTGTTGCTAAATTCTGCAAAACAGCCAGAAACGTAGTTTGGAGGAAAAGCTTTCTCTGATGATAATAGACTTTCCCATCTACTGCTTACATAGTCTGTACAGAAGTTATAATAAAAAGGCATTAATAACAAGAAAGGTTGTCAGTAGAACAGAACTGACTGAATTACTCAGCAATTATTTCCCCACCAATGTTTACCACAGACTGAGTTCAGTCGAGTGAAGAGACTATGATGAGGCTCATGTTTAAATGTCACAAAGATGGAAGAATTAATGAATTGATAAACAATTGGATGCGTGAATGGATTAAAGAACAAACAAATGAATGAACAAATAAAAGGAATGAAGGAATGAATAAAGAAATAGAAATTCATCGATACTCTTTTGTGCTTTTGTTTGCAGGGCAGTCAATAACAGAACTTCTATTTAAACAGCACCCACATTCCCTCAGATGAAGTGAAGCCGACTATACAAGTAATTCTCATTCTTATTCAAAGATGATGACTTTTCTGTCTAATCCTCCTACGGCATAAATACGCGGTACTTATTCGCCCATCAGAGGCAGGAGCATGGAACAGATGGAACAGTTAAAGAGACTACTTAATATTGTCTTTTAAATGACATAAATCGTTCCCTTACCTGAACTGTACACACGTAAAACATGTGACTGTTTTCAGAGCAGATTTTTACAAATAACATTTTTACAAAGAATGTGCCAAAAAATAGAAGACTACTGATGATAACTGATGTAACTCTAACTCAATATTCATACGAGTTTATTCCAGTTATCTCATATAAGTGTTGTAGTGTCATATGTGTTAACATTTTTTTTTTTAAACTCACCCTGTATATGTTAGAACGCCATGCCAGCTGACGTAACTGATGTAACATAATGGTGCCCTACAATAACTCAGTGTAATGAAAAATGTTTTTATTATTTTCAGGGTGGTTAATTTACACACACTGTCGACACTGATGGTTGCAAGTTAGTGTATGCTGTGCTTCTACATCAGGTGTAGCAGTGATTGTATATCTACAGTCTACAATATAGCCAAAGCAATATGGTCCCATGCTTGCAGATTTGTAACTAATTGTATATCTCAATTTGTATAAAAGTTATGAAGGTTAAGAATAGAAGTTAGGTTAGCCAAAGTTATACCTTTTCTTATTATTTAATTCATATGCAGGTGTGGAATTGAACAAAATTCACATCAACCACATCATTCTTAGTCATTTGGGTTTGAGTAACACTAAAAAACAACAACAACAACAAAAAGGTTCCAAGTTTCAAATCTTTCCCTTGCTCGTAGGTTCATAACGTATCTAAAACATATCTGCAAAGCCTCACACTCCCTCTCTCCCTTCCTTTTACTGTGTAAGCCAACTTATATAGCATTAACCGGCAACACTTTACTTATGTTATTAGCTACCAGCTGCTGCTGTGAGAAACAGGATTAATCAGTACAGTGTATTTTCTGGCAAAGGTAATTATATAGCAGCATTGGTTGAGAGCAGATCGTACCTTAAATAATTAGAATAACATATTTGTGTCATCATTGCTCAGACTACTGTCTGGCATTCACCGAAAATGTACCCAAAACCTTCTCAATTTAATTGTAGAGATAGCACTGTGATTTTATTTAGTATGTCCTCATCTCCCTAAGAAATTAATTCCTGGCTCTGCCACCAGATATTGGCCATAATACTGATGTTATAACATTGATTTATGCTCATTTGTGCTAAATGTGATCTAGTTAGCACATACTGTAGCTAAAAACAGGTGCTTTTACAAACATTGTAGTATAATTATCATAAGACTGACAATCGTATGTAACATCATAAGATTTATTAAGCCAGTAAAGTATGTGACATTAAGGCTTATAACTGCTTATAACATTCCTTTAACCAATTTTTGTTAATGTACATTCATTCATCTATAGTAACCACTTTGTCCTGGTCAGGGTTGCAGTGGATCTGGAGCCTATCCCAAGAACAGCAGCTGATGATAGAAACATTATGTGAGCTGTAAAAAAATAACCCAAAAACCACAGTCAGTGACATCACCAACAACCTCCACAGAGCAGGTGTGACAGAATTACAATCCACTGTTCAAAAAAGACTTCCAGGGCAGAAATATGGAGGCCATACCACAAGATGCAAACCATTCATCAGCTGTAAAAATCATAAGGCCAAATTGTAATTCGCAAAGAAATACAGAGATGAGCCACAAAAGTTCTGGAACCAAGATTAACCTCTACCAAAGTGATGGAAGGGACAAAGTGCGGAGAAGGAAAGGATCTGCTCATGATCCAAAATATACGAGCTCATCGGTCAAGCATGGTGGAGGTAGTGTCATGGCTTGGGCTTGCATGCCTGCTTCTGGAACAAGCTTACTAATCATTTTTAATGATGTAACTCATGATGGTAGCAGCAGAATGAACTCAGAAGTCTACAGAAACGTTCTGTCTGCCAATTTACAGAGAATGCATCCAATCTGATTGGCAGGAACTTCATTCGCAAGCAAGACAATGACGCAAAACACACTGCCAACACAACAAAGGACTTCATCAAGGGAAAAAAATGGAAGGTTTTAGACTGGCCAAGTCAATCACCAGACCTTAACCCAATTGAACATGCACTTCACCTCCTGAAGAGGAGCCTGAATGGAGAAACCCCCAAAACAAACAACAACTGAAACAAGCTGCAGTACAATGAAACAGTTTGGTGATGTCAGTGGGTTTCCAGCTTGATGAAGTTATTGCAAGCAAGAAATACACAACCAAAGATTAAGTGTTATTTAATTCAATTTAAGACTATCTGTTCCAATACTTTTGCTTGCCTAAAAACTGCTCTGCCACCAAAGGTGCCATGTTTTAAGTTGCTAAACACATCCATCCATTTTCCATACTCTTTATCCTACACAGGGTCACAGAGGAGCCTGGAACCTACCCCAGGGACCATGGGACACCCTGGATGGGGCGCTATCCCATCACAAGGCACAATCGCACACACATTCACAATGTGAAAATCCCAATCAGCCTACAAGGCAGGTTCTTGGCCTGGGGAGGAAGCACACAGAGAACATGCAAACTCCACACACAAGGCAGAGGTGGGATTTGAACCCCTAACCCCACAAGTGTGAGACAAATGCGCTAACCACCAAGCCACCATGCCCATGGAGAAATCAGGAACCATGGAACCATGGAAAAATCAATTCTGATCTATTCTCTCACAAATGTTTTCAGTGCACAGCAAAAACAAAAGAATCGTCCTTGCTGTTCCAATACTTTCAGAGGGGACTGTATCATGTCATCCTTCCTACCTGTGACGTGACTGCTCATGATCGGAGGAAATACCCTTGCTTATCCAGATTCATGAATCAGGTATTTCATAAAATATTAAGCATAGATAAAATCATATAAAAAAAACAATTATACAACACTGTACAATTAATAAGTAACATGTCATTGTGTATCATTATAGTACTCAAAAGGTACAATATTTCTGGGCAGTTGATGGCAACATGAGACTGTGTCATACATTAACTGCTACACCAATGTGTCATAATGTTTTCTTAGAGCGATTTTCGTAATGTATCATAAGACGTATCATCAGTTGTCATACAGCATGTGTAAAAACATCTCCTTTAAGCCATTTGGTAACTAGAGCACAACTGGCAAAGATTTAGCCAATGACATATCATTACATCAAATCTAAACACTACATTACACTACATTACAAGTATGCAAACAATTGCTGATAATGGTAAGATTACTGTTATGACAACTCTACTATATGACAGTTTTGTGAGTGTTATGATGCAGTGTTTAAGTATATGAGTGTTGTTCATTAGGTTACGATAATCAATATCAACATGTGTCACAGCAATTCCCTCTGACTTTATAGAAGACAAGTGCATTCAGCTTAGCATACATAATTAATGGAGATATGACTATAGTGAGTCAGTAGAATGGCTTTCCTTTGAAAGGCCAGGACAAAATATCCATAAACATGTTTTTGATTTGATTGACCTTTTAAGAGTGTGTTAATGGGATCTGTCACTGCGTGATAAATGTGCCAAGCCACGTTAGCTGCTCAAGCTGAAGTCCCCGTCGGTCAATGGCATCGATTTGAGTGGGTGCTGACAAAAAAAAACCTTGTTATATGAGATGAAGAGGGGGGTGTTCTGTGCAGAAAGCCGTAACCAGAAAAAAAAAATAAGCCACACAACAGCTACAATTCCAATCCTATTAACGCAAAAGTTGAGAGCAGTTGAGAGCAAATTATCTGCCAAAAGAATAAGAAAATTTGAAGCTTGAACTTCTGCCATATAACCCCTTTTTTGGCTTATAGTTATGTTTAAAGTTGTGAAACATCTGTCAAACAAGTTCATGTTATTACTTCTAACAACTATAAACATTCTCTGTCCTAAACACATTCCCATGGTAGAAAAGTGTTATAAAGCACTGACACTGGAGACTCCTTTTAAATAATGCCAAATAAATCACTTATTATAGAATATTTCACAATAACAGCAATTACACACTTTATTTTCTAAAAATCAGATCATGTGGAGCATGCACACCATGTAAGTTGTTACGCCTAAGTCCTTATAAGTTGTTACTATAGAAACAATAACCTATTTGAATGAGGGCATTAATTTAAACAGTATATATATATATATATATATATATATATATATATATATATATATATATATATATATATATATATGTGTGTGTGTGTGTGTGTGTGTGTGTGTGTGTGAGTGTGTGTGTGTGTGTGTGTGTGTATGTGTGTGTACTTTTTAATTACTGTTCTCTTATTAGAATTGTTCTGAACCCATAATGCCACAGTCAAAGTCAGTTGTAACTCTGTAAATATAGGTGCTATAGGAATACTCTCAGGCTGTTATCAGCAATCGCAACTGACATAAGGTCTAAAACTGATCAATAGCTTGGTCTATAGTTTGAGCAGCACACAGAGAAGCGGCATACGGGGCTGCTGAATCGGTGTTCTAAAATTAAATGTATTGATTTTGTGTGTGTGTGTGTCCCTGTGTGGTAATGGTTAAGCAGGTATTTTACACCTAGAGAATCAGGAGAACACAGACCAGCTGCATGGTGCTGAAGGCTAAAGCAATCAATCTCACAGCTGTCACAATAAGCACAAACTGAACAAAGCAATATATAATAGGAGTCAGTGTGAGTAACCACTACAATCTGAACAATAACTATGTGGAGTCTGAAGTGCATTTTATCACAGATACAGTCTGGCTGTACCATGAGAGATCTCATCTAGCTTAAAGGCAAAAACTATTTATTATTTTAAAGTAGGGGTAAGCTAATAAATATGTGAAGACAAAGTTACTAAATATCTTAAACATGTTTGGTGATAAATAAACAAACACTATATAGATACAATATATGGCCAAATGTATGTGGACACCTGACCATCACATTTGTATGTGCTTGTTGAAAATCCCATGCCATATTTAGCACCCTTTCTATGTTTGAGAAGGCTTTATACTAGATTCTGGAGCGAGACTTTGGGGATTTGTGTTCATTCAGCCACAAGAGCATTAGTGAGGTCAAGCACTGATGTTGGGCGAGAAAGCCTGGCATGTAGTTGGCGTTCCAGTTCATCCCAAAGGTGTTCAGTGGGGTTGAGGTCAGGGTTTGGACCCTGTCGTTCTAGTGAAGGGAAATTGTAATGCTACAACATACAAATGCATTCTATGCAATTGTGTGCTTCATGCATGAATGTGATGGTCAAGTTTCCACATACTTCCACATACAGTCTTTTCACTCCATCATGGATTAAAGCCTGAAACTGTATGTTTGAAAATGTTTACAACTTTTTTTAAAGCAAGAATAATAAACTGAATGAATTTGTGAACATGTTTATTCACCCCGCATGATTCATAGTAATTATAGTCTTGTTGGCTTTTTACTGAGAGCAAAAGTAAACAGTAGACATGTTCTAAAGCATACAGCAGTGCAGGTTTTCTTTTCTGAAATGGGATTATAACCGTGTGTTAGCAAGAGGCAGTCACCAAATGTGTATACTCAGCATGAGTTAAATGCGAGTACCACAACCATGTACACTGTGAGCAAAGCTCTGTGTCTTACATGCAAAAGGCAGTAACTCGCTTGAAATCTTTAACTCATTTTTCTAAATTAAACAAATACATCAACCAATGTATCGCTGTCAACAAAATACATTATCCCTTTATTCATTGCACTAACCTGACAGTCAAATGCTTAAAGAATTGTGTCAAAGACATAGAGCACTGAATTTGTGTGCCTTTATTGAATTTCTCATCTTAAATGTTTACAATGAGATCTAATATCCTCTGTAAACAACTGAATGGTAATCGTCAAAAATCATCCAATTTTACAGTGACATTAAACATTTATCCACACTGCTCCAACACATTCTATTACATGTACTGCACTGACATTTTCCACATTGCATCCATGTAAGGTACAGCAGCCATAATGTAGAGCAACAAATTCAAAAAGATGAAAGCTCACAAAATAGAAAATTATTAGGGACTAATATGGACAAAGAAGGAGAAAAAGGAATATAGCCTCACATAACCTCATTCAAACGTGCCTGTCTATCTGACCACAGCATTTCACCAAACATTCACCTCTTCCTCTTGCAAGAATGGCCTCTTGGCCATCTCCGATATCTGCGTGCTTTATACTCAGAAACTTTGGAACACAGGTTTTCCTTATACAGTAATATCCATTAAATGCGTATGAGAACTGATAGGTGCTGAGGACTTGTGCTGCACCACTGAACTAGTAAATTGGACATCTTTTATAGATTGCAATACAGTGTGAGAGTGAACAGAGTAACTGCATGTCAAGATTCCAACTCACCTTATCTGCAGCACCTTCTGTATGTTGAATATCAATGTTCTGGCACAAGCATATGTTGCACAGCAGAGTATCAAACTTTCATTCGAATGCTCTGTATGTCATGCATAAGATCGATATGGAATTATTAATTTCGCCTCTATTTAAAACATATTCGGCGTAGCCCACTTCTTATGTAAAGTTTGTGATTTTCACAACATATGATTAGCCTTACTGCACTCATGAAACTTCTCCACTACCCTGCAAGCACAAGCAGGATTTCAAGTCAAATGGTAACACAGTACACAAAGCGGGTATTTGCAAACTGTGAAAGTCTCGGTATTCTCAATTGCATAAAGAATTTACAGCCTAAAAATGATCCACATTTCAAAAATACTTGAGTTACCATACCGTGTTACCATGGGTCTTGCCCAGAGGTGAACGTAGATCATGTGGGGGCCCCAGGCAAAATAAATGCACAGGGCCCTTCTTTTGTTGTTGTCATGTCTTCATGTTCCCTAGAGATATAATTGTACAATCTACATTTAAAAGTAGTCAAAACACATCTAACAGAACTTAACATGTTTATTATTTTTACAGCTTCATGGTGTGTTTTACAAATAGGAAATCAAACCTCGGTGAGGAAACAAGATGTCCATCTTCAACTATTTACAGTACAGGACAACTATTTACACCTGAAGGGGTGGCACAGGAGCATAAACGAGTCTTAAATGAGATAGCACTCCACAAACGGGGTTACTGGGATGTTGCTGCACATTATTTTAAGATAAAAATATCTGATTATTTAAATAATCAGCCCTCGGGGGCCCTCTCATTGGCCCCAGGCAATTGCCTGCCTTGCCTGCCCTGTAGCTATGCCTCTGGGCTTGCCTGATTGTGTTTGCAGAGAAGAGGAGAAGTTGAGCTTATTCCATGTGCCTCTCAAGTCTAAAGAATGTTCAGACCAAATGACTAATTGGTTTGCAGTGCTTCACACAGTGTTGTGAAAATAATGATTATCATTTGATGATTATGCCAAAGCATCTGAGAAAACCTGTTAATATTGTCTTGTATAATTTGTTTTGTTGCCTAAATCTTCCTTCTTGGTCAACTTACATTTTAATATCTTCAATTCCTTTTTCAGGGCCCTGTGATTGAATTTTGATTTAGGCTCCAACCTGCTCTTTGTACACATTATATACAGACATCCATTTGGAATTTTTTAGGCCCCACCCCTGCTGTTGGCCCTTAGAATTATCAGCACTCAGCATTATCAAACATTCATCTTGTAACTCAATCTGACTGTGC